TGTTTTTATTCTTACTTTATTTATTGCTTAATTTGTATCTTTCCACTGCCACATTTTGTGCTTTCTTGTCAACTCGGATGACCTATTTTAAAAAGCAGACAAAATGATTCACCAGTCTTTTGTTTTGGTTTTTCTTCTCTTTCATTTTCGAAAAATAAAAAAGAAAAGAAAACAAGTTTTTGTAATTTGTATTTTTTAGTGCAGACAATAATCTAAACCAGACGGGAGGAAGATTTCTCATACAAATGATGTCATGGGGTTCGAACTTGAGATCTCTGTATGATCGAACATGAGACCTTTGTAATTTGTATTAAACATTATGGATCTATTTTTGTTTCTTTGTTTATTGACTTTATGTGGTGGAAAGACTTGAATTCATGCATGAACCGTATGATTTGTAATCCACATATTGATTTCTCTAACTAATCCTTTATAGAATTGACCAAAAAAAAAAAAAAAACTAATCCTAAATTTATATATATATATTGTTTTTTCCACACAAGTTACTAAACATAGACCTACCAAACCCATAAATTTGTGTAAAGGCATCAACAAGATTTTCTTCCTATTGATTTTGCTCATGTGCTGGATGTCCACATCACCAATAAGCGATAAGACTTGTTGAAATGTTTTTCTTTTCATTATTGGGAGGAAATTATGATTTCCACTTGGCCAAGCTAATCCTTGTTTCATCCACTACCATTGTTAACTTTGTGGGAGTTCATAATTATCTTCTTCTTTTTTCTGGTTGCTAAAATAGAATAATTTGATGAGAAATTGCACCTTAATTAAGTTTCACAATGAAGCAATACTTATATACTTAACTAAAGCATTGCACAGAATCTGAAAAAGATAAGCAAAGTGAACGACGATAGATTATTTTCAACTAGATTCCATAATAGCCAAGGAATCCAAGAATAGAGTTTGGACACGCTTTTAGTTCACAAAAATTATAATTGTGGATTAGGAGATTCTAAAACCAGCCCATATATATATATATATATATATATATATATCAGGACGAGAATCGAATTTAGGACATCGGGTGCAAAGATAAATGTTCTTAATCACTTGAGCTACAAATCCCTTGCAACCCGCCACTTGAGCTCAAAATTTATTTTCCTATAAGTCATGCATTCAATATTACGATTGTATTTATGAAAAGACTTTTCTATCGCGCATATGTTTAATTAGTTGTTGTTGTACGCGTGAGAATCCTAACCCATGAGCAGAGAAGAACAAAAGAATTGATAAGGTGCAAACGGATAAGTTCTCTCGTGTCTTTCTTCAAACCAGATTTTTCACTGGCACTGTGAGGTGCGAACAAATCTGGTTCATACAAAATCATACGAATATGATAGTAAACGAAATGATATTATACCAAACAAAAGTTTAATGCACGTGTTTTGCGTTTGATGGATCGGCATCGGCATCATGCAACGCATTTTTCTGGTCGTGGAGTCATAGAAGAATGGGGGAAAATCTTTGTTGGTTGAAGTAAAATGAGGCTAAAGCTATGTTCACACCACATGCACTTTGAATCTCTCCTTCTTTTTAAGGTATAAACTCGTTGAATCTTGCAAAAGTCGAAAAGGGAAAGCAAGAACATCATTTATTTCTTTGTTGAATTTGAATGAAACCCTAGAGACAGGTTTGAAATTTTCTAGATTTGATGTTTCCCATTTGCCAAGGTCCAAGGATTCTCGGGGTTTCATAGAAAGGAAAATGAAGATGAGTATTTGCGACGACTAATATATTTTCTTAAGCAACGTGGTTATTTCTTGTCCTAAGAATCTTCCAATTATTATATCATTTTGCTCGACTTTTGGTGAGTGTGAGTAAGCCAACAATCTTCTTTTCTTTCTTCTTTTCTTTGCTTTGTCGGTAAAACTCATGACTCGGGTTAGGTAAACAAAATGTCGGCTGTTCACTCTTTAGGCCACTTTAGTTTACCTGCCCTTTTAGTGTTAGGGTACGGTACTATACGAACGAAAACAAGGGTGAATTCATTGTCATCTACGAGAATTAAAATATTAATTATTTGTTTATTCATCGGGTTATCGGATAATTCAACAAATCAAATATGGATCTAGTTGTTAATGATCAGTCGAATTTTTAGATCGGATCGAGTCGATATGTTTTTAAAATCGAGCCAGGTCAAATTTCAAGTGTTCCGCTCATTTACAAACCAACTTGTAAGTCATCTAAAAACAATATAAATCATAAAGAATTATTATTATCACTCTAAAGTGATCATATTTGACACGTCTCATTTAAATTTACAACTTTTTCAGAGTGACAGTAACTACTTGTGAACGGAAAACATATGTTCCGTGTGCAATCTTGCATTTGTGGTCCACTATAGCACTCTAGCATGGCCCCAATTAGGTACGAAGTAATAACAAGAATGGTATTTTTGTAATTAAGCACAAATAACTCATCACACTCATAATGCACGTGTACTTCATGGTTGGGTATTGAGCGGCAGAGGATACATTTGGAATTCCCAGCATTGATAAGCGCTGACGCGGCCAATACGAATTAATCCCAACCGTTGGATCCTTCGGTCACCATGTTTAAGCAGGCCGAATAATTTTTTACCGCCGTAATTTGGTAAAATTCGTATTTAGCGCGGTACATACGAGATGGAGAGACATTCATCGTATTTTTACCTAAATGGAGAAAGTAACAGAGGAGTCGAAAAAGGTAGGGTCCATTGGAAAACGGGCAAGATTATGATTTGATTGAAATAAATATGGCAAAGATTTCCCTTGTCCTCACGTATGGGCCCACCCCATTATTTGACCCGCCATTTTGTTCCACGTGTAAAACTTAAGCTCAAAATCAAGTGATCCTGAAAGGAGAGGATGCCAGGTGGCGATGGTATTGGAATATTATCCTTTCTTCGAAGTAAATCACATGGATAGTTTTGAAAGAAAAAATGTTACGGGATCTCCAACTACAATATTAGCATAATTTTCTCTTTAAAAGAAAAAACCTACAAACAAGAGGAGATATTTTTATAACAGATCAATAACTCGTATAATGAACTAATATACATATAATTAGATATTGAACTCATTATAAATTTACATCGCTCTAATTTCTACGTGAGTCGAACATTAAATCTTTTCAAACGAGCTAAAAAGAAATACCACTAGACTAAAGGCTAGTTGGTAAATAATTTTCTCTTTTGATACAAACGATATTAGAAGAGAAAGATTAGAATACACAACCTCGAATATAAAAGTAAATGTTGTTAACGTTGTTGACATAACATTTTAAAATTGACTAGCCAAAATAGTTTTTGAGTAATTTTCATACCAAATTAAATCAACATATTATTAGTGTTGTCGGAGTCGAAACAATTGACATTTGCTACCTTAACAATGCCACTTGGCAAAACCAAATGTGGAAATAATATTTCCTACATCACAAGTAGCTTTCTTAAACAAACAAGTTGCACATTGATTATAAAAACCTAGGTTGCTAAAAATAAGTTGTATCTGTATCAATCGAGTTGGCCATTATCAAATAAATATTGCCCAGATAGGATTTCAAATGATAAATGACTCATACATTTTGCATTACACCCATGAACAAACAAAAAAATTGTCCACAAGTGACCTAAAATAGGATAAAGCCATGGACGTTGCCTACTTGACTCCACCAAGCTTCCAACCATGTTTTCATACTAAATTAATATGAAAATTAAAATTCAAAATTCAAAAAAAAGGAGGAAAAAACCGCAATTTAATATAACCACGATAACAGAGCGTAAATTGTGTTAAAGACATAATATTATATATTATCTTAAACGAAAATGGCAAGGAATTCAGTGACATTATTTGAGCAAAAAAGTGGGAAAATTGAGCGGCATGCTGCTAGATTCTAGCAAATGTCTTATAAAATAGACAGATTTGATTGATTTTCAATTTCATTAGTGGTTTCACCGTCGTCACCAAAACCAATTGGCCCACGTTTTTTTTTATGTCACCAATTGTCTCAGTGAAATTGGAGTTTAGTTTGACTAACCTACCTTTTATCATGATGTATCTTGACTACACATATTAATTATGTTTAAAATTTTGTTATAAATATAATAATATATTATAATTATAATTTTAATGTTAAAACAGACAAAAAAAGAAGAAGTTAAGTACAAACTTTTTAACCTAGTTGTATTATCTTCTCAATGTCAGAAGGGATACCAAACAATAATAGTAGACATAATTGTATTTCACT